TTCTGCTTGGTTCTTTGCGTGCAGACCTGGTGGGGTGATAACAGGAGCCCTGAAGCTAGAGGTTTCAGTTCCCACTGATGGGGCAAGCTGCCTCATACATCTTTAGAGGAAGGGAAAGGGGCTTTCTTTGGGTGCCTTTCTTACAGCTCTTTTCAAAACTGATTGGCATGATGGTGTGAGACATTTTGTCCACTAACTTGATCCTCCCCAACTCAGCAGTTCTTCGTTTAAAGGGGCCAGATTGCCACTGGAGTGGTGCATTAAGAAGGTTCTCCAGTTGGGGCTAGCAGGTGATGTATGGTAAAAGGTGCCAGATTCCCACATGGCCGACCATGGTTCAAGTCCTGGACCTGGTGACTTCCTTTCTCGCTTTCCCTTTCTCTCTCTGTCTAGTCAAATTAAAAATGACAATAATAATAAAAACAACAAATGAAATTAAATAAATAATTAGTTATTTTTAAAAAGATTCCCTGGGTTCCCATGGTATTCCCTGGCCAAAAGCTCTTTCACCTATTTCTAACCCCAGTCCAACGCTACCTGTGACAGCCCAGAAAGGAAGCCTCTCCTGCCCAGCTTTCTTCTCTGGAGAATCTAGAGTTTGCCCAGAGCTATGAGGCACATGCCATGTACATTCTCTGTTTTTCATTGATATAGAATGGAAAAATGTGCTCATGAACAGAGTTATTGTGGGGATTATGTCATAGACTTCATCTGGACTTCTTTCTCTACAAGCAGGGAGCCTAGCTTTAACCCTCTCCTACCAAGAAGTCATCCTTGGCCAAGCAAAGATGATGATAATAGTGGAGTTTACTTTTTGTAGGTAGTTTGAAAGGCTTCTTTCATCATGATTTCCCTTACTAACCATATTTAAACTTCTGTTTCTATGTGGGCTGTTGTTTTATTTTTTATTTTTTCCTACTGAGTCAAGTACTAGAAGCTTTGTCTAAGAGAAGATTCCCATAAGCCTTCTGTAGCACACCAGACTCAGGAGAGCTGTGGTCTTCTCCACCCTGGGCTTCTTCCTCCTACCTTAAGACAGAATTCTTTTCCCAGATGGGCCCGCCAACTGGAGATGGAAGGTTACGCTGTGTCCCTGGGCAAGCTTTAGAAGGTCTCCCTCTCCGATTCCCTGTCTAGTAAATAGGGCTTGAATTTAGAAACCTAAGTAGGCTGTACACAACTGCGGATGTTCTTTTTCCTTGGGTGGGTTGCAGAGAAGGAAGGACACTTTTCCACATTCTCTCTCCAGAGAATCCTCTTCAGGCCTCTGAGTACCAATTGAGAGACCCCAGTGGATCCAAACCCATGAGTTGGCCAGGAATGTCCTTGCCTTAGGAAAGTGACTAATGACATAGCAGGAAAAAAATTCCCAAAGAAACCAGGTGCCTTCTAAATGGGGTGGAAAATGGGGCTAACCCCATCATCTAGTAGTTAAGGGAGCCAGATCCCACATGGCCTACCCAACCCCAGTGAGTTCAGACCCCAACCCCAGTGGCTTGAACACTCCAGGTGCACGTTCATGTGTGCCCCAAATCCTGACTAGATGGAGAAGTGGAGAAGGGATTAAGGCATACTACACAGGGGGGGGTGCTTTCTCCCTGCTGCCACCCCCTGGCCTGTCTCTCTCTGGCAAGCATACACACCCTGTGGCAGCTAATAAATATATAAATAAACAAGGTGAGGATGAAAACCAGGGAGAAACTGCCTTCCACTTGTGTGTTCATGTGATGGACAGTTCCCGCTGATCCTCTAAGGATGTGTGGTAGGCAGGCACAGGATGTGTGCATCCCAGGGTCCTGCTGTGCCCTGGAAATCCCCCTCTCCAGGAGTCCCACGTCTGCACATGTGGGCTTTCTCCCTCCTGGCCAGGAATCACACTGTCTTCCTGAGCCATTCAGCGTAGCACCCAGTCCATGCTCAATAGCACCATGTTCCTGCCTGCCTGTCAGTCACTCTCCCCAAGGCAGATCCCTGCTGCACACATGGCAGGGCCACAGTAGAGCCTCTCCCCATCCAGGTGAGGCCAAGGAGCATTGCCAGCTTGTTCTCTCTTCTTCTCACCCCCCGCCCCCCACTCTCCTCTCCATTCAGTGGCAGTGGCCTCACACTGAAAAGGAAAGTCCTGGACCTGTGACATAATTCTCCATAATGCAAGCAGTAGCTAGGGCATAAGGTCAGAGGTCATGGTGGGGTCAGGTGGCTGACACACACTGTAACGACAAGGTGGTTAAAATTAGACCACAGAGAGGAAACTGGCAGTCTTGTGGAAATGCAGAAGTTTCCTCTGCAAGTGAGAGGCTGGGGATGCAGGGAGGCCACTGTGCGTGCTGCCTGCCAGGCTATTACTCATTTCAGCTCTGTTCTTTAATGCCTTTTAGCTCCTGCTTCTGTATTTCTAGCCTTCCTCATCACATGTTTGAATACACGCGATGGACTCATGGTTACCTGCCCCAGCCCAGGACAAGCTTTCTTCCGTCTTCAAGAAAGTAAACCCAGGACCAGGTGTCCCAGGCTCAAGCCTAACCCTCTCTGTGTAGCTGAGAATCTTTTAGGTCACCCTCCCAGGTGGTGTTCAAGTGGTAGACTTAGCCCAATTCCGGCCTATAATGGTAACAGAGGCATTGGTGATGGAGAGCCAGAACCACTCCTTAGGCAGAAGACAGCAGCGGGCTTGATGGGGCCAAGGTGGCAGAGGATAGAATCATGGAGCACACAGCTGACAGTATGTGCTGTGCTTTCCCTGGCTGGCCAGCTGGCCAAATAGGGCTCGTTTCCACTGCATCATCCACTCCCTGTGGTACCCAGCCTAGCTTCCCTGTGCCTGCCAGTCTGTACTGAGCCTCCTAGATGCCCAGTATGTAACACACAACTCTTGCCAGGGAAATATACAAGGTAGGAAGTGTCATCTTTGCCACCAGAGGCACTTCTGTCTAGATGGAGATAACACATGCACCTGTAAAATGATGCACAAGCAAAGGTAGTCCCAAGTTAGTACTCCACTGCTTGATGCAGACATACACATTCCTTTCACATTAAGAAATGGGGTGGGGGGGCCAGCAGGTGGCGTGGTAGTTAAGGACACTGGACTCTCACACTCTGTCCTTCTCTGGTAAAATTAAAATAAATAAGTAAATAAAGTTCAATAAAATAATTTTTAAAAAATGGGGTAGTGGAGCTGGCAGGGTGCTGGACTCCCACGTAGTCGACCGTGGTTCACGTCCCAGACCCGGTGGCTTAAAACTCACGCCAGGCGCGTGTGCGTGCGTGCCCAAGATCCCGAGAGGAGAATGGAGGAGAAGGGATTGCGGCGTGACCATCCCCCCGGGGGGTGATTTCTCGCTTTCTGTCTCTCTGTCTCTGTCTGGCGAGCACACGCGCCCTATAGCAAAAACCTCCCCCCCCCAAAAAAAAAATGGGGTAGTGGAGCTGGCAGGGGGCTGGACTCCCATGGGGCGGACCATGGTTTTAGTGCTGGACTCCCATGTGGCTGACCATGGTTTGAGTCCTGGACCTGGCGACTTGCTTTCTCTCTCTCTCTCTCTCTCTCTCTCTCTATCTCTCTTAATCTGTCCCTCTAAAATAAAAATAAGCAAACATAATAAAGTTAAATAAAAATTCTTTTTTTTTTTGATAGTTTTTTTGTCTATAGGGCATGTGCTCGCCAGAAAGACAGAGACAGACAGAGAGACAGAAAGCGAGAAATCACCCCCTGGGGGAATGGCCACGCCACAATCCCTTCTCCTCCATTCTCCTATCGGGATCTTGGGCACGCACGCACACGCGTCTGGCGTGAGTTTAAGCCACCAGATCCGGGACTCAAACTGCAATCGACAAGTGGGAGTTCAGCAACATAGCTATTATGTCAACTGCTGGTTCCAGTTACATAAAAAAGAAAAAAAGAAAAAAAAAAAAAAAAAAAACCCTTAAGGAAAGGAAAAAGGAAGAAAGAAATGGGGTAGTGTTTAAGGGGGGGGCAGGGCAGGGGCACGTGCTTCCCACGTGGAATGGGCTTCAGCTTCCAAGCTCCAGATCAAGCCAGCCCCTTCTCCCTTAGTGAACATGCCAGTAGGGAGCAGAGGACCTCAAGGTCAGGAATGAAGAGAAGAACAAGAAAGATAGAGGATGCTTGGAAGGCAGATGGGTTTGGAGGTGAGGGCAGCATGCGTGGTCTTGCACGAGGAAGATCCCAGACGTGGTGACTGTGGAAACCTCATCTGAAACATATAGTTGACAGATCACTCAGAATACGAAATTTCAGCTCTACTAAACCAGCCCTGGCTTCTCTGACCGCACTGGCCTGTGTGCTGGTATGGCCACATGGGAGCAGGTTGGCATGAACCCCTAAGGAACAGAGCCTGGGTGCAACACCTCCTACCTGCTCTGCCTGTGTCCCTCCTCCTGACAGTTCCCTGCCTGACCCTAGCCGCTTGAGCCTGGGAAGCTCTTAGCTGGGGCAGGAACTTGTCAGTGAAGCCCAAAATGATCTTGCTGAAATGAAACAGCCAAGAAAACCCTCATCATTCAGACTAAAAGTTCTCCTTTGAGGAGTCTGGAGAGAAGGGAGCTAGGCGAAGAGTGGAGAAAGACAGCGAGGGGTACCAGAAAGCTGTCTGCTGAGACAGCCACTTGCACTCCACTGTTCTTCCAATGATTATAGGCTAAGCTTATACCGATCTGATACATTCTTTTTTCATATCAAGATTTCATAAAAGAAAGGCAAAATCCCCGAGGGCATCTCTCATTGGTCCTGGGGTTGTCTGCTGCCCCAGAGATGACCTAAAGAGAGATGGTGGCGACTTCCTTCCCCCAAGAAGATCTGGGTTCTCAACCGTCCTTGGCCCGCTCTCACCACCTTTCACACGCACACATGCTCCTGCTCACTCTGCCTCCCTTACCCAGAGCTTTGATACACTTCATGTGCCCATCAGTCAGCAGTGTTTCTCATCTCCATCTTCCCTTTCTGAAAATGCTATTTTTCTTCTCTCCCTCTTGCCCTGTAGGTTATTGCAGCCGACTGCAAAAGGGTCACAGTGCTGAAGTATTTTCTGGAAGCCCTTTGTGGACAAGAAGAGCCTCTGCTGGCATTCAAGGGTGGAAAATATGTGTCAGTGGCACCCGTCCCAGACACCATGGGAAAGGAAATGGGAAGCCAAGAGGGAAAACAACTGGAAGATGAGGTACTATGCGGGAAGAGCCCGCTGTGGCAAAGGGAAGGCTCCCCTCCCCCCTCCGGTCCAGGCTACAGCTTCTGCTCCTGGTTATTTATAACCACTCAGAGCAGTGTCTGCATTAACCTAACCAGCCAGCTTCTCGAGAGTGCACTCTGCTGGTGCCCCTTCCTGCCAGTCCACCCCAGTGCCTCCATCTCACTCTGCTACGAGTTCCAGATGCTTCTTTTTAATGTTGCATTGGAGAAGGGAGGGAAAGAAAGAAAGAGTTTAATAATGTGCAGCTCTGGAGGCTTAGGGAAGGGAGTGGAGGGGGGGGGTGTTAGGGTTCAGGCTGAGGATCAAGTTTATAGATGTGTGGAGCTCGGTGCAGCACAGGCCTGAACTTCAGCCCCCAGCACACGTACAGGAAGAGCTGACATTGCTGGCCTCGTGTGGAAAATCACCCCCCCTCCCCCGGCCTACCCTCCCTGCCTCTCTCCCTCCCTCCCTCCCTCCTGCACATCCTGATGTGATTAAGGAATTCTCCTCTTGTTTGTTTGCCCTTGGTTGTTCCTGTAGCCCTTGCTTCACTCCAGACCATGTGTATATGTGTGTGTTTGTGCATGTGTGTGCATGAGCCCATGTACCCACCCCTATAAAACCCCACTGCTATGCTCTGCTGTGCATGTGTGTGTCTTCTGGGGGTGATTGTTGATGTGAGTCTGTGTGTGTTGGGTTTGTGTATCAGATTAAGTGAACACTGCTGCCAGCTTCCCCGCTGTCTGTGGGTTCTGAGTAAATGTGAGTGTGTGACGGTGTTGGAGCATGTGTGCGTTTAGTATCACTGCCAGCTGCCCTGCTGTGTGTCTGGGTGTGGGTAACGCTGTCTGGGTATGTGCGCACACACCTCACTTCGGCCCGAAGGTTGACTCTTTACTTCTTTTTAACCCCCCAATGTTAAAGACAGGGGACTTAGTGGGAAGGAACATGGGACTGAGGGAAGGGACGGAAGCAGTTCTAGCCAGAGGCCAGGTCACCCATAGGCCAGTGCAGTCATTTGGCCCGCAGCAGTCTCAAGCGCCCAGTGGAGCAGGGCGGGGTGTGGGGATGAAATCAGCAACAGGCCAAGGAAGCCAGATGTCAGCTGGAAGCTGTCGTTTGTGATCTGAAGCAGTGATAGAGTGGCCACCTTTGGATCAGAGTCTTCAGAGCAGCAGAGTCTTGGACTGGCTTCATTAGAATAGCTGGAGAGCCCCACCCCACCCCTGATGACACAGGGCTCAGCTTCCAGAACAGAGGTGGTTCCAGGGAGAAGGCTGAGTCCATGATTCCAGGCTCTCCAGATGAAACCTGGGCTGGGAATAACGGGAAAGAGTGAGCTGTCAGCATGGGAGGAGGCAGTGGGGTTGCCAAACCCATTGGGGTGTCCAGACTTGAGGTGGGCACAACAGTGCCACCCAAGCCCTGGGCGCTGTCAGTAAGTTATCTTACCCACACTTTAAGGCTGAGGCAGGCAGCGCAAAGTGAGCAAGGCTGACTCTGGGCTTGCCATGAGAGAGCGTCCTCTCACCAGGGGTGTCTGCAGTACCAAACCCAGCCAGGCTGGTAAGACCCGGAGAGAGGGGCTGAGCAGAAAAGCCATGATAGGGTTTCTTCCACTCTGAGAAGGGTTAGACCAGCTCTCTGGTCCCAGATCTGGGCTGTGCCATGCTCTTTCTCCTTCCGAGGTTTATTGACCAGACAAAGGTTATGACCACACCAGGCTGCCCACTTCTTCGTTTTCCCACGAGCCTCTTGGGTTCCTTTATGTTAGTGGCCCCTGGGAAATCCTACTTACCCTGGTCTGTGTAATTTCATAACCCTGCACTTCCTCGTTTGCTGTGAGAGCTGAGTGAACCTCAGACAAGCTTCTCTGACCCTCTTTTGACCTCAGACAAGCTCACTCTAAGCCCCACGATAACCCTGTGTATCTCTGGCCAAAGCAGGCAGGGACAGTGTTCCCCCATAGAGCAGGCAGGCATCTTTTCCCACTTATTTCAATGCAGGTTAACCCAGTGAACAAGAAAGTAATGTGGTCTTCCTCATTCTGCTGGCTACGGCCTCTCTGTGACACTATAGTGCGTGTGTTGTCAGATGAGTGCTGACTGTGGACAACACTTCAGGCCACAGATACCTCTTAGGATAGCGCAGTTTTGGCCCCATCCCCATCTCACCTCTCCCTAAATTGTAAGACTGAGTCATTTAACTGATTAGGAAAGTTAGGGAGAGAGGGTTCTTTAGACATCGTCTTCGTGAACAGAACAGAATCCAGTTCCTCAGGGAGACTGCCCATATACCTGTCTTCCTCCCCCTAGATTCTGCTCACAAGACATCCCCCCATCACTTACCTACCCAACATATTACTGACCATTTTCAGCAAGCGATCCATCCGAATAGCATCTTGAGATGGACAGAGAGAGAAGAAATCAGTCTGTAGTGAACGGGTCCAGGATGGGCTATGGCAGGCCTGACATAGCAAAGCCACTTGGACCTGGCCTGGGCTTGCTGTCTGGATTCAGAACCTGTGGATGTGCCCATTACTGTTCGTAAGAGCAGACTTTGGAGTCAGACTCAGTTCAGTTGGTATCCCTGCTCTACCATTTACTAGCTATGTATGTAAACATGAGCAGGTTGCTTAACGATAAGCCTCACTTTGTACATTTATAAAACGGGTGGGGAAAGCACCTACTTCACAGGTCATTGTAAAGGTTGAATGAGTTAACATTTGAGAAATGCTTGGCCTCGTGCCTGGCCAGTAATCAGTGCTCAGTAAGTGGTAGCCATTGTCATAATCATTGTCATTATTCAGTTAGAAACACAGGAATGTTTCCTAATAAATCACTACCCATGTACCCATTTCTAACTCTGTCCCTTAAAGGATGCTGTCTTGGGCAGCTGCACATTCTCTACCGACCAAGGCCAAAAGTGAGAGAGTAAGGAATGGAGCCTGGGACCACCCGGGGAGCGTCGGCTGCTGAGAATCGGGGCTGTAAGCAGGGGGGTGCCATCCCTGGGGACTGCTCCACCAGCCTGGCAAGAGGCTCCTTAAGCTAGCCAGCCGCCTCCTACCCTGCCCAGGCCCTGGAAGGGCAGCTAAGCAAGGTCATGTCATGTGAATTCCTGTAATGGGGCCCAGCAGTCCCCACACCACCAGGCTGTAGTCTTGAAAAGAAACCAGGGCAAGGTCTGCTGAGCTACAGCATCTGCTCCCTGACACTGTCTGGGGCAAGGGAGCCTCCACGCCTAACTCCCAGCTGTTGGCCAGAGTTGATCCCTATCAGATCATTAGCATGAATTGCACTTAAATTGTGTGGTTTAGCTTTCTGTGTTGTTTCTCCCCTTGAATCATTTGTGATTTCACAACGAAAATGGGCCCAAAGTTTGACTTTGTAACGAGAGAGCAAAGAATCTAAGTATAAGCATGCAAGTGTATATGTGTGACTGTGAGTGACTCACCCCTCCATAAGGAAAGAGCCCTAGAGTTTGAAAGGGAGTAAATTGGGGAGATAACAGCTTCTCTCAACCCGCCTTGGCTGAGTAGAGAGAAGCACACACTGCGCAACCCTTGCAAAGGATGGTCCCAGTGTGAGGGGCGGGAAGGGCAAAAGGTGGGCTCGTAAGTGCTGTGGGCTCAGTCTTCACTTTGCCCTGGTCTGCTCCACCACCCAAAGGAGGAAGACGTGGTGATTGAAGACTTTGAGGAAGATTCAGAGGCCGAAGGCAGTGGAGGTGAGGATGACATCAGGGAACTTCGGGCCAAGAAGCTGGCTCTGGCCAGGAAGATAGCTGAACAGCAGCGTCGCCAAGAAAAGATCCAGGTGAGACCCGCCTGGGGAAGGTGGTTCCCACTGGGGTTGTGGCTGTATGGGGCATGAGGGGCATATGGGCTGGAAGCAGGAAGGGTTCCAATGTCCTTCCCAGTGCTCAGCCTGTTCTCTCACTCTACCACTGAGTTCTGGTTCCATGTTCGGTGCTACAGTCTCCCTCATCCTTTGCGCCAAAGAGAATTAGAAATGAAGATGTATTACTGCACATTACACATATGTGGTCTTTCATACAATTTCAGGGGTTTCAAAGTTCCCTTGAACTGTATCCAGATCCTTCTGAAAGGCCATTCTTAGTTGAGAACACCCAATCTCAAGAGGAGAGAGTGCCATAGGTACAGTCTACTTGCCTGGCTTTCCACTTTAATGGCAGAGGCCCCTCTGGACAGGACATTCTCTGCATCGTCCCAGGAAGAAACTTTTGGGTTGTTGGGAAAGTCATGACACATTTTTGCATAGAAAACTATACCATGATTTTGCCAATGATCTAATAATGAATCTCTGCACAGGGACTTAGATCATTATCAGCCCTCTTGGGAACCCTTCTTCCCTTCCAGCTCATTTTTCTTTAGGGCTCTCCCAAGTCTGTCCCCTCACTAGCAGTCCACTTCCCTTTACTGGCGTCTCAGGACAGAAGGGGCAGATCCAGTCATGCTCCCTCCTTTAACTGTGTGCATGGGGAGGCAACAAACCATCCTGCTCAGCCTCTTCTCTCTTCAGCAGCCCCCTCCTTTGGCACTGGGCTTCATACCTGTGATCAAGCAGAGCTGATTACAACCCGGACTCCACCACTTAAATAGCTTTGTAACAATGGGCAAAGTATTGAACCTGAGCCTGTTTGCTCATATGTAAAATGAACATAATAGAACCACTCTAGAGTCTCTGAGGCCCACACACAACAGTGCATGTAAGACACTTAGCACAAGACACAGCACTTAGTGTGTGCTGAAATTTGTCTCCTTGTTCTGTCTCAAGAGGTAGAATGAATACCAGTTGGGATCCTTTGTTTTTTATTTATATTTTTTTTTGCCAGAGGGTGTGTGCACTCACCAGAAAGAGATAGACAGGCAGAGGCAGAGGGAGAAAGCACCTCCTAATGGGGTGTAGTCATCCCACCATCCTTTCTCCTCCATCTCTCCATCCTGGTCAGGACCTACCTTGGCATGTACACATGCCTGGCATGTTTTTGAAGCAACTGAGCCAAGATTCAAACCATCCCTTGGTCATGTGGGATCTGGTTTCCTTAACCACCAGGCAACAAGGTCAGCCCAGGATTCATTGTCCTTTAGACATATGAGGGAATTTCAAAAACTCCATGGAAAGTGGAGTTAAAGTATATGTTAATTTTGGTGCCCCCCAAAAAATGAAGTCTTTGCGGTTTCTTCAAACTACACATTTTCTGTGAACTTTTTGAAGCCCCTCACAGTCATGGCCCCGCTGCCGTTGGTATCAAGTGTGGATTGGAGTCAGCATCATCTTTTGCGTTGCGGCTGCCTCCTCATTCCTAGTGGGCCTGTGTGTACACCTCTGTGGCCCCCAGAGCAGCTCCCTCCTCAGCCTTCAGTCCTCCTGTCCCATGACTCTCCTCTTACCATTCGTCTGCCCAGAAGTCCTGTCTCCACTTACCACCCCCACTGTTGACTCCCAGCCAAGCAGTTAAAGAAGCCCTTGAATCCGAAATCACTAAGGACCTGTCTTACCAAATCTCAGTCCTTGTCGTAGTCGACTTCCCTGTAGTTTCGGGCCCACTTTCCTTCACATTAGCACAAGTGAATGAACGCTTGTCTTCTCCCTGTTGAGCAGACCAGTCACCTAGGCTTCCTCACCACTCTTCTTTTATAGTCTCCTCCTTCCTATCTATTACTTCTTAGTCTCAGCAAGCTGAGTTGGTCTGCAGCAAATATTTGTTCAGTGACTTAATAGATGGTAGCAACCAGAGCAGCATTTTAAATTCCCCTGGCTTTTAACCCCTTGTATCTAATTTTTTTATCTGCTCTCTCATTTATTCTCTCCTCTCCCCTCTGTTCCCATTACCACTACTGATACTCTAGCTCAGGAACTTGCTATAGTTGTGTTAATAGCAACCAAGGCCTCTGTATTACACAGCTCCAGGGAGCCACTGGCCTCCCGGTATGTGCACAGCACCTCCTGGAGTTGTGTAGTGCACCCTGTAGTCTCTCCTGCTTCACCCCACTCTCCCCAGCATATTACTCTCCACCCCACTGAGCCATTCACATGCTAGAAATCATTGTTCTGGTAGTAAAATAAGTCTGATTGGGCCAGCAGGTGACATGGTGGTTAAGGCACTGGATACCACATTGCCAGCTCTGTGGTTGAGTCCTGTCCGGTAGCTTAAAAACACTCCAGGCATGTGTGCCCAAAATCCCAAGAGGAGAATGAAGAGAAAGGTGTTCAGCATGATCCCCCTGGGGAGTGATGTCTCACTTTCTGGTCTCTCTGCCTCTCTCGGGTGAGCACACATGCCCTATGGCAAAAATCTAAAATAAATAAGATCTGACTTTCTATTATGGTTTTTAGGGCTCTCTGGTCTGTTCTCAGTCTGTTTTTCAAATTCTTCTCTCACTGCCTCATTCCCCATGAGCCCTTACTAGCTCTAGGACCTTGGGCAAATTACTTAGTGTCTCTGAGTCTGCTCCCTCATTTCCAAAATGTAAGCGGCACTGGCACCTACCCGTGAGAGCTAAGTTGCTCTGAGGCCTCGGAGTGGATGACAGTAGATGTACAGGGTCTGTCCAGATGCTGAGCCCTCCTGTCTGACAGCGATACTCTGCTTCCTCAGCACACTGTCCCTAAACATGCTCTGCCCTGTCCCACTCTCAGATCTTTAAGGCTGTCTTTCAAACCAGGGTATCCTTTTCTCTCCACACTTCCTGTTACCTGTTGAAATTCTGTCCCTCCTTCAATCCCCAGATGAAACTCCATCTCCCCAGTGAAGCCTTCCCAGATCCCCCCAGGAGAACTTCATCTCTCTCTACTCAGTGTTCCCGTAGCATTGATTTATCCTTCGTTTTGGAGCTGCTGTCATGTCTCATGTTACAGTTATTTCTGGACCTGCTCCCCGCTCTGCTCCGTGAACTCTCTAGAATCAGGGACTGGGTCTGCTGTCTGGATTCAGAACCTGTGGATGTGCCCATTACTGTTCGTAAGAGCAGACTTTGGAGTCAGCTCAGTTTGGCAAGTGGTGGTGAGCCTTTACTATGCTAGTGACCAGGAGACACAGGAGTGAACAAAAAGTCCGCATTCCGGGGTGGGCAGTAGTAGGGAACCCACTTTTAAACGAGTGGCTTGAAATGAGAATGAGCGTTGTTACAGGAGAAAAGTGCAGGATGCTACAGGGGTTTGTCCCTGTCTGTGGTACCTTGTCCAGCATTGCCTCCCAGAGCAGCAACAAGCAGTGCCTTCAAAATGGGAGGTCTTCTGGGGGGTCACTGGGTAGCATGATGACTAAGGCATTGGATTCCCACATGGCCAACCGTGGATTGAGTCCCAGACCTGGTGACCTGAAAATCACTCCGGGCAGGTGTGTGTACATGCCCAGAATCCCAGGAGGAGAATGGAACAGAAGGAATTGCAGAGTGACCATCTGCCCTGGGGGGTGATTTCTCACTTTTCCTCTCACTGTATCTCTCTGGCTAGCGTATACACTCTATGGCAAATACCATAATTTAAAGAGGAAGAAGAAGAAAATTGGAGGTCTTCTGTAAGCCTTGACTTTAAGTGCCCTGGTTGGCCCTGTCCAACAGGCCTGTTCTCCCCCATCAGCTTCTTTAGAGGAGGCTGCTCAGGCCTAGGCATTAAGGGCCTGCTGCAGGCCAGAGCCAGGGTTGCTGTGGCCCCTTTAAGAACAGGCCCCACATGCACCGCTGCTGGCGGCCCTGCCTCCTGTCAGCCTCCTTCCTCCAGCCTCACAGCCACAGGAGGATTTCTCAGCAGAGGAAAAATTCCCCCCTTCCCTTCACCCCCCTCTCTTTAATGCCCGGGGCCCTTCACTTCCATAATTCTTCATTTTCCAGCCTTGAACGTAAGCCAGACACATCTGTCTGGCCATATGCGTGAACCCTGGAGTCTGTGCCGAGGTGGCTGTAAAACAGGGCCGGTGAAGGCCCTTCTGGGAGAGCACACACATGTGTGTGCCCTCGGGCCATTGGCTCCCTGCCCAGAACCACGGGGGCTTCAGTGCTCCAAACCCATGTTAACCTTTTCTTATTTTTCCTCTTTTTGTTTAATTTAAGGGGGGAAAATCCCAAGGAAAAGGTATAAATTGTCTTGGGAGTGGGGGAGAAGCTCCTAACTAGAGAGGCCATTATTGTTGGCAGGTACCTAGGTCACACTAATACAATAAGGAAGAAAGGAGCATCGAGTGAATTAAGATCGGAGAGATGGGCTGTAAATTACACTGCTCTGAACTCCATCAGTCTCCAGGGTGTTAACCGAGAGGTGTAAGGCAAGTCCCCAGCTCCCCGCGCCTTTTACAGATGCAGCAAAACAGGAACCACACATGTTTGGGGAAGGGGATATGAAGATGGGGTTGAAAAAAATCCTCCTGGCCCCCACGATGGCTATAAAGTCCAAGTGAAATCTGGGCTCTAGCCACACCCCCACTTCCTTGCTCCCACCTAGACCCCTGGGCTTAAGCTCATCTATGGGGATTGGGGGGGGGCGGTGAGGCCTGGCCTCCCTCCACAGCCTGTCCCTCCCTGCTTCCGGCGTTGCACAGAGGCTGGTGAGTGGGGCCGACTGGAGGTCAGGAAAGGGGTGTGGGGAGCTCTAAGGGCCTGTGCAGCTGGAGCTGCAGCGCCCAGGCAGGCCCTGGATGCTGGGGGCAACAGGCCCGCCCACCTGGGGCTTTGAGGCCACACTCTCCAGCTCAGCCCAGGCTTCGCCTTGTTGCCTGAGACAGCTCTTTATATTGGGTTGGTTCTGCCCACCTTGCTGCTTTTGCCTGAGTTCTTTTCATTCCCGTTGCCATTCTTGGGAGGTGTCCAGAGACCAGAGCAGGGTAGGTACATGGTTTGTCTGGGAAATTGGACAGTGTTTCATTCCTAACCAGGCCCCCAGGGCAAAGCAGTCACTGCAAATCCTCCTCCAGGCATGAGGCGTGGCTTCTTGGCACCTCATGCTGGCCTCTGACTGTGTTACTCTCCCCCCTCCCTGCCTCCTCACTGCCTCCACGAGGCTTTGCTGTGATTTGTGCTGCTGTCGGGCGGGGTCAGGTTTCCTGAGTGGTTGCAAACATCCCACCTGAAACATAACAGGCTCTTCCTCTGGCCACAGCTATTGTTTCCCTCAGCATTATGGCCACAGTCTTGCTCTGTAGCCAGCAATGACATGTGTTCTGAAAATAACTTCACTCCCCTGTCCCCTTCCCGCCCACCCACCCTCCTGAAGATGCAGTCACTCCTTTGTGGTGGCCCCAGGAGTTTCACTCTAAAAATAGCTGCAGTCCATTCACACTGCCACCCAGCTGGGGGTGGGGGGGCACTGTGGAACAATGGGGTATGCACAGAGTCCCCCACACCTGTATGGACGCTAGCGGAAGGCAGACACTCAGCCCTGGCTCCTAGCTGTCGGAGGCAGGGTGGGAGCCAGCATACTACCAGGCCAGGGGCACGTTCACGCCAGGGCAGGAAAGCACATCAGCCTGCAGAGCTGGGCAGCCGCCCACCCCAGCCTGGTCCAACCTCAGCTAACTGGTGTTCTGGTTGCTCCTGCTCCCCAGGCTCCAGCATCATCCACAGGGTCCTGTCCTGCAGAATGGGCAGGCTGTTAGCCAAGACGCTCTTAGACTGCTGTGGAAAGCAAGCTCAACTGTGTCATGCTCCGTCACTCCCTCTCCTTCAGGAATGGATTTCTTTAGTTTTTACAGAGCAAGAGTTATATAGGTTAAAATTCAGATTGGGTCAGCAGGTGGAGTGGAGGTTAAGCCACTGGATTCCCACATGGTGGACCTCGGTTCAAGTCCCGTACTCAATGGCTTGAAAATCATACCAGGCATGCATGCGTGCATGTCCAAAATCCAGAGAGGAGAAAATGGTTGTGTCATGGCTATCTTCTTTAGGAGGTGATTCCTCACTTTCTCTCTATCTGTTGAGCACATGTGCCCTATGACAAAAACATTTTTAAAAATTTCAGATTATAAGATGTCTTCAATTCTGAGACCCCTATAATATGTTAAGCTTCGTGGTAGGTATTATAAAAGAAACCATAAGAAAAGTAGGCTGTTCTTGGACCAATAGGTAGCATAGCAATAGGCTAGATCCCACATGGCCGACTACACAGTTTGAGTCCTGGACCTGGTAGCTTGAAAAATATGCCACCTGTGTGTGCATGCATGCCCAAAATCCCAAGAGGTGAATGGAGAAGGGGTTGTGACTATGTGGCCATCCCCTGCCAGGTGTCCCTCACTCCCAACCCTATACCCCACACCCCCGTCTCTCTGGTGAGTACACACAGCCTATAGCAAAACTAAAAAAAAAAAAAAAAAAAAAAAGGAAGAAAAGCAGGCTATTTTTCATGAGTACCTTACACTCTAGTTTGAAAATAAGATCAGGGGCTAGCAGATGATGTGGTGGTTAAGGCACTGGACTTCCACATGGCCAACTGCAGTTTGAGTCCCGAACCTGGCGGCTTGCTTTCTCACTTTCCCTTTTCGCTCTCTTAGTCTCTTTCTGGATCCAGCAGGTAGCATAGTGGTTAAAGGCGCTGGACTCCCATCTGGTTGACTACAGTTTGATTCCTGGACCTAGCAACTTACTTTCTCACTTTCCCTTTCTCACTCACTCGCTCACTCGCTCTCTCTC